AAGGAGACGGAAGCAGAGATACAAAAAGCAGGAAACACACAGCCAGGCAGACGAGCTCTGAGCCAACTCCCATGTCAGAGGATGAAGAGACCTCATCCAGCCTGTCACAGTCAGAGAAACAGGACTACACTGGAAAAACAGGCCAATCTCCAACATCTATAAATAAAGGTGTTGATGGCAGCAGCACAGCTGATATTTCTCTCCAGGATGGAGTCACAGCCAAACTGAAACAGACGAGGCAAAGATACTATTAACTTGCTCAAATCAGAGAAAATAGACTTATTTCAAGAAACATTTGCTTCATTATACAGTAGTTCTAGCTTTGTAGTGTATGTTTTCAGACAAGGGGTGTGATGGCATCATGTGCAGCCCCTCAGTAAATGTCTGATAATTATTTTCATTTAAATGCATCACTTTATATTAGTTCACAGTACTAGTATTTACATAGCATTTCATTATTTTTACGTATGTGATTTGGATTTGGGCTGCTCAGTGGAGCAGGGGGTAGCACTGCTGCCGTGCAGAAAGAAGGTTCAGGGTTTGATTCCTGGCCTTGGGTCTTTCTGCCTGGAATTTGCATGTTCTTCATGTGCATGTGTGGGTTCACTCTGGGTACTTTTGGTTCTCCAAAAAATCATGACTGTTTGGTTAATTGGCTTTTCTAAATACTCCTTAGCTGTGAATGTTGTTTGTCCTGTTTGTCTCTGTGTGTTGACCTGTAATGGACTGGTGACCTGTCCAGGGTGAACCCCGCCTCTCACCCATAGACAACTGGAGGTACCAGCACCCTTCACAGCGCAGCTTAAGATAAGCGTGATGGAAAATGGATGGATGGATTTGGTCTTGTTAACTATTTGGGTGCACACATTTGGATGACTCATTTTGCCATTTTCGTTTGTGTGGTTTATTTTAAACTAATATATTTTTCTCTTGAGTTGCCACTTGCTGGGAGGCTGCCATGTGGGCTTGGCCGCGCCAGAGTCCCAGCTGCAAACAGTCTCCTAAATGGCTCTGAGACTTGATTGGACTCTTCCATTTATTTTAGAAGAGGTGTGGTAGGTTAAATTTGTTCATCTTGTTAGGCTTTTTATAATTAAAATTGGAGAGTTTAATTACTTAAGTTATTTTCTCTCATATGTTGCTGATTTTGTATTAGTTTGATTTTTGTATTTGTTTTATTAGGGTGACCATATTTTCATTTGGGAAAACCAGGACACCTTGGAGCGGGGGGGG